CTGTTCTCTATTTTGTAGGAAAATACAGCACATGAAGCATGGTGTTTAAAGTAATTTTACATTGGTATCTTTATTACGAATGCTCACTGTGTGCTTTAGTTAGTACTGTAAGATATTTTTACTTTCTTGTTGCATGAAATAATGGYAAAGAAAAGAACAGTCATCAAGAGAAAATAAATTAAACCAAATGAATGTATGGGACAGAAAAAAATGCCATGTACTGATTGAAATGGCATTGAGAATAATTTTCAGATGACAGGATGTACTCTGTAAGAAAGCACTGCAGGATTTAATTCAGAGAATTACTGTTTGCTTTTYGCAAATAATATGTGGAAGCCAGCTCATACAAATTGAGACAGCCCCAGTCAAACCCACCAAAGTAAAACAATGATTCATCTTTGCTGAATGGTAGTTAGATCAAGGCTCCTGTCAAGGTGAGACCCTGCAGTAAGTGTACCAGTACTTCTCTGAAAAGGCAACCCATTTTCTGAAGTCTGTCACCTAAAAGAACCCAAACTGGAGAAAGAATGGTAAATAAGGAGTGGATTATGTGATGATGATGGCAGGCAGCCTAGTGAGGAGCAGGGCAACAGCACAGCTTGAAGATGCATGATGAAAGCTCTTGGTGCAAAATACAGGGAAAGAAGCATGTCAGGAGGGAAGGGCTCTTGCCCACAGCTAGTGCTTGATCCCCAGCAGTCCCAGCACAGCTACTCTTCTGACACTTGTTTGATGCTTAGAGAAAGCATTCTCCAAACTAACCCCACAGACGCAGGGTGCCTGGACAGCTTCCAGGGAAGCAGCTTGCTTCAAATCAGTAAGAGGGCCAGGCCTGTGGTTCCCTCGTGTATTAGGTGTCTCATGGCTGTGTTTGGTTCTGGGCCTATGTGCTTGTACTTGGCTGGCCAGGATGACTATGTAAGAAAAATGTAAGATCACAGAGCAGTACTGCAGAGGTCAGCCAGGCCCAGGCTTTCTCCCRTGACAGAGGAAGGGATGATCTCTGCAAATGGCAAAGATTCAGAATGTATTTCATTATACATACAGAAGGTCTGTRTACTGGCAGTGTAGAACACAAAGGTGCTGCAGCAGACGACAAATGTGCAGCAGGTTATCACATACCAAACCTTTGCACCCTTGATCTGATCTCTCTCTCCTAGGACAGGCAGACTGCCACTGAAATTAAGGTAAGAGGATAAAAAAGTGAGACATGAAGTGAGGAAAACTATTGAAATCTTCCTCCTTAGGTGTTTGATTTTTCTCTCTGGCCTATCAGTCTCTCTGACTTCTGGGTCAAAGAAGTTCATGGAAATCTGCTGTCTGCCTGTATCTGGTCCTCAGTTTGATAGTTTTAGTTACGCATGAGCATCAGGCCTACCTCCGGCATAGTGTGTGAAACTGAATGACCAAATATATAATGTGCACTATAGACTCAGAGGTTTGGTGTGCATGTATGTTTAAATAATTCCTGTTTATATTAGAGGGGAGATTTATTTCTTGTGCTAAACATGACCATACATGAGAGCTTTTATTACGCAACTGGAATCACTTCTTATACTGAATGCTTTTTGAGCTACTTTGTTCCAAATTACACAATCTAAATTAAGAAGAAATGCTATAAGACTTTCAAATATCCCTGGCCTTTGAAGATCAGGAATGAATTGATCTCTTTGTAGTGGCTACAGGTAGGGACTGATAAGATCATCAAAGAGGAAGGAATAAACTCGGAAGATGCAAAAAGCAGAGTATTTGTATTACTATCAATGCAACATTAAACAGGATCACTGAAAGTGTGAAACACAGAATCCTTTTGGCCTCCTTTTTATTTTCTGCCACTTCTTGCCTCACCTGAGTTTATGCTAACTCTTCTTTAACCTGAAAGCTGTCATACATAGCTCTTGTTTTGCTGGAAGGTTTGATGTAGTTTTTGGTTGCYCCAGTCAAAAAGGTATTTTGGAGAGATGTCATTGACACATTTTTGGCAAAAGTTTATTAGAAACATTACTACCTAATGTTTAATCAATGATTCAAAAGTGGAGGGCATCAGATCCTTATGGAGACTTGTATGTGATAGAAAAAGAGACTTTTTAGGAACAAGTAACAGTTACAAATTTTAACTCTTTGAGGTGAAGAAGGATCAGAGTCACTACAGAAATCTGTGTCATCTCCTGCAGTGAAGCCATGCAGGACAATTCAAATGACTGCATTCTGGGGGAGGTGGCGAAGGGATAAGTATCATTCTCTGCTGTGCTGATGAATTAAAACAGTTCTGGATAAAGTTTTCAGGCACTGTATCTTTCTTGTTTCCAGCTGAATTGTAAGAGTGGTAAAAGCATTGCATTGATTTGGTGCTTGTCTAAATTTTACTCAGGTGTCACTTGAGAATTAGAGGTGTCAGAGACACTTCCCAGGAATCAGTATGGATACCCAGACCTTTATAGAGAGAGAAAAAAATGTAGTTTCATAAGATATTCCTCAGCTGTGTGAGAGTGAGGTGTATGTCATGCTTGGGAAGATGTTTACTGTTTGTTGATGATGATTACACTTAAGTTCAAGAGGGAAACCTGGGAAAAACTTTCCCATGAGGAGAATAGTGGAGCACTGGAACAACCAGGGAATTTCTGGAATCTGCTTTCTTGAGGGTTTTCAGACTCAGCTAGAGAAGGCCACAGATGACTTGACCTTATGGTGGTCAAGTCTTTCTTTTTGTGCGATGTGGAACCTCTGGAGGAGGACCTTCCAATCAGCATTTCTGTCGTTCTTTGACTTTCAAGCTGAATTACTGCATTTGATAAGAAAGATGATATGTCCCTTTTTCTATCTGCAAGATACTTTCAATGTATTTAGCATTGATACACCATGAGACTGGGTTTATCATTTCTCTTTCTTGCTTATAAAAGCTACTGCCCTTTGAATTCTAAAAGCACCAAGCAGTACAGCAGTGGCATTACATGTGCTACTTTTACATGAATTCTTGGAAATAGAGCTACCTGAAAATGAACAAGAGAAAAGGAAAGTCGTGATTAATGAGAAAGGGAGAAAGAAGGCAAGCCTTAAATGAACTATAAGGGCAAAAAGCAGATAAGAAATAAAAATCTTTTCATGTTTACTTTGCATGTATGTGAGATGCATAATATTTCAGCCTATTTTGCCCATATTGTCCTCTTTAGATAGACAATACAGCATTAGATTATCTTTAAAGATTAAGAGTTAATGGCTACTTCTCAAAAAAAGTTTTCTAAATTACTTTTGGAATGTGAATCTAAACTCCCTATGGACTTATTGAGAAAAGGAAGTCTTCTTAGAGATGAAAGATTAAAATTGAAATATCCAGGCATCTCAAGGATTTTTTTTCTGGTTGTCTCTCAAGTAATGCTGATTTTGTGTCAGCGGTGATGTAGTAACTTGTTTGATGTTTCTCTAAAAAGTGAATAGATTAACTTTATCAAGGAAGTCTATGACAAATCTCCCAAGGAAATTAGTAATTTTTTGTTTGTTTGTTTTGTTTTCCTCACATTGTACTGATAACTATTAAAGGAACTCTAAACAATGCACCAAATCTCTGCCAGGTAATGTTTGCTTTTTTTTCCATCTCTTCATAAGAAGAGGATTCTACCAGATGAGTAGAGAAAAACAAGTAAACTGATTTACTTGTCCAGCAGTTGTACTATGCTGCTTTACGTTTGTTAGAGAAACACAACCTGTGTGTGGAATGTGTTTGGGCTGCTGGGAAGTGATGAGGCCACTAATAAGGCCCCGTTCAAGTACCCACTGCCTCCTAGCAGAATCACAAGTACAGCAACCCCTGGTAGTCCTCAGTTGCTTGGACCATCCAAAACCTTTGACCACTGTTGTTTCTCCTGTTTCTCCACACAGTGAGGTGGACAATACCCTCATTGTCTAAGTTCTGCTGTATCAAGGGAGTAGAATCGTATCTCCTCTTTCCTAAGTGGTCTTTTAGACATCTGCTGCAGAAGCCATCATGTTCACTGATGATGAAATTATGAACTTTTTTTTGGATGAAAATTTGAAGAAAGCCTGGGGAATGCTGTTATGTTTTTGTGGTTGCCCTTGCAGCTGAATCAGAATCCATTATAGGCTGTTGTTATATAGCCATTATTAATTTATTATCAGTGAATTTAAGCATAAAAAATGAGCAAAGATAAGTGGAACAAGTACTGTCATTCTCTTTTTATCCTGTTATTGTAACACCATTAAGATGGTCTTCCATAGACCAGCAGTGGCCGGGACTGCTGTTGGAGCTGTTATCCTGTAACACAAGTATCTGTTATGGTATTACATGTCCTAGAATCACTTAGGAGCACAAGAATGTGAACATTCATTTTTAAAAAACCCACAATATTCTCACCTCTGTGGTTGCAAAGAGGTGATTCAGACTGAGACTGAGTGAAGCCACTGGTGGCTGCAAGGTGCCTGGCATATAGCATCTCTGAAAGGTGTGAGCTGTCAGCTCTCTCTCCATGCAGTGATGAATCACGCCATGAATAAGATGGTAGTTCTTTTCTGCAACCGTTTTCAAGATTTCAAAACTTCTTTGTTATTCTTCCTGAAAATGGAATTGTGTCTGCAAATCCGGGGAGTGTTGAACTATGATCTCAGAGGGAGGTGGGATACAGACTGTTTCTGACATCTGCAGACAAAATGGCCAGTGCCCTGGTTTGGGAAGGGAGGCTAATGAAGAACAAAAATCATCACTTCTGATCATTGTAGAATGGAGCAGAACAGAGAACTGGACCTGAACGGTTTYTTTGTCTCCCTGCCTTCTGCAAAAGACAAAACAGAGGGAAGTGTCTGCTTTTCTTCTTGTGAAGTTATCAGAGTTCATGAGTTCAAGCAAAATAGTGACTTCACCCACACAGCAGGTTCAGATGAAAGTTTGTTTTCTTCTCTTTTTTCTCTTTTTTTTTTTTTTTTATTTAATATTTCAAAAAGAGACTTGTTTTTTGGTTTGACTGACACTAGCTTTATGGTCTTTGACCATGAAAGCTGACTGGAAGGATATTTATGACAAGAAGAAGAAAAAAGATGTGCTAGCTTATCAGTCCTCTACATTGCATGGTAAGTGCTGTATAAGCACTCTGCAGACCTACAAAAATGATGGGYGTATTGCATAGCCAAATCTGCAGGCCAAAGTCTATTCAGAAGATGAAAGAAGCTTTACATGATAGTTCTAATTTTTGACCAGAATTATTTGTTCACAAATATTTTTTTTATATAACTGGCCAAATTACTGGATGTCCTGTCTGGTAGCAATAACTGCACCATAYAGCAGTGCCATCAGATTTCTGACTAGGTTGTTTTAAGGCAAGATTGACTGTCTGAATGTAACGGTTCTCCTGGAAACCTTTTTGCATTAAAWACTTCATTGTTGAGAGCTAACTGGTAGCAAGGAGCTGATGGTGATATGCAGCACATACTGCAATATACTTTCTCTTGGGGTTTTTTCACTGTGTCCTTTCCTATCCTCCTTCCTGATAGGCTTAAAAGGATTAATAAAATATAAGTTGAACTAATGAAGACCCATTCTTGATGAAAAAGGTACAAGTAGATTTGCTGAATTTAGATGAAAAATTAACTCTGCACCATGGCTTTTAGGCTCTTCAGGGTTCTGAAGGGTGAAAGCAACAGATTGAAGCTTTTCATATCTTGACTTGTACACAAATGAATGCATTCATACTTCAGAACTGACATTTACAGAAATCTGAAAAAAATGATTTCACATTTCCCTCAATAGAACAGAGATTGGAGTATTAACATTCTGTTTTTACTCTTTTGTGTTTTCTGTCTTGATCAAGAAACAACATTTGGAAATCAAACGTGGGGAAAATGACAGGAATTTTGAAGTGCTATGCTTTTAAATTATGTGAAATAAATCAATTGGATTCATTTGAACTGCTTGCAATTAGAGATTCTGGCAAGAGCCATCAAAACTTGTTTCCCCATAGGATAGGTTGAAAATTGCTTTCATAGAAACTCCATACATCTCAGAAAAAAATTACTGACAGCACATTTATCACCATTTTACTGCTACTTATGAAAGTAGCTGTTGGTGATGATTTTATGTAATTAACTTGCTGCAAAATTTCATTAGATTTTCAGCCACAAGCAGTATCTAAATCATGCAATATTCTTCTGTAGAAAAGRCACCTTTAAATATACTCAAATCAAAATCTAGACATCAGCAGACCTCGGTGATAATCAAACAAAGAGGTTATTCCTGTCAAAATTCCTAAGCCAAAGCTATTTTCTCTCTGTCAGTCTCAGACAAAGGTAGCAAAATGCAAAAATCAGTATTTGTGTTAGAAATAAGCAAGAAAAATGGGCATCATTTGTTTCTCTCTGCTTAACAGATGATARTCCTTTCACTAACGATATTGAAACTAATCTCAGCTGAAAATGCAGCAGATTTCGTTCTAGTTATATGCTATTTACATCTTATTAGGTAAACTGACACTGGTATTTGCAGATAATAAAAATATGAAGAAAACTTCAATGGTTTCTTTATTGGGAGGGGAGCAATTAAGAACRATTTTTTTTGGTATGTGTATTTACTGTATAGCTTCTGAGTTTTGTTRCAAGCTATCTCCGGCTATAGCATCCTTCCTGGAACAGAAAGTCTGTTTGCTGAAGAATTACAGGAATAAATTATATTGTAATCACATCAATGAGCAGTTTTTCTCCAGTTTCTAAGGAGCAGAGGTCTGTCCTATGGGTCTAAGGTTCGCAGCCTTACCAATGACTTGTGGTGACTCAGTGCTGTGTCGCGTGATGGACTGTTGAGGGTTTTCAGGAGCTCAAGTATTTATAGCTTCCAGGAATCTGAGTGTGAAGAACTGTGCTTTAAGGTCTGGTAATTAGGATTATGTGGGCTAATTTAATTTTCTTTTCATTTAATGTGTAAGTGTTATGATACCATTGTTAAGAAGAAGAATAGATGTAAGTCCTCCTTCTTAAGTAACTGTTGTAGACTTGCTTACGAATCATGACCACCAGCTATAGCAGGATAGGATTTGAGTAGAACAAAGCAGCAGTTACTCTCAATGATTTTATAAATAAAACATAGTAAAATAAACCATAATATTTCATCATTCTCTTCCCAATTAAATATTTTTGCATTTTCAGAACTTTTTCTTTCCTGTCAAATGCAGAATTTGCATTTGAGAAAGTCAGAGGCTTGAGATGTCCAAAGAAAAAGAAATTTCCACACTTCCACACAACTACATTCAAAGGGATGAATTCAGAAAAATGGTTCTGCACAATGCAAAGTGGTCTAACAAACTGGCCACCAGCAAGAAGGGGTGTGGGTGGCACACTACCAATTAGTAAATGAGGAACACATGAGGAATAAGCTGAATAACTCATTTCAACTAATGTCTGAGTGGATGATTATTTTTCAGTAAATCCAATATTATGTCTCTCTCTATATACATGTCCTTTTGCATACGGACTGTATTAGGCAGTAAACTCATGAAGGGGCCCAAGTCTGAAATACTGCCTTACAGCAGAATACAGACAGAAACCCATAAGGAATAGTTTTGTTGTGCTTGCTTATATAGCCTTAGAGCCACATCTGTGGAAGAAAGTGTGAGTAGAGCTGACGAGCTCTCTTATTAACCAGCTTTCAATATGTAAGCCGAAATGAAAAGTATTTTACAATATTGTTAGAGACTTCTGATTACAGCACTCAGAAAAGACCGTGTCACTGCAGAGTGTGTGGTCTTCTGAAGGAACCTTATCACACTGAGGCACGTTCTACTCGTATTCTCTTTTTTTATCTAAAATTCACAATGCAGTGTAGTCTATAGGAGAATATTCTCAACGTCATCATTATCATTACCATTTGATGTAATTCTGTATAATGCATGTCGCAATTTCACCCATGAATCACCTGCACTAGGGCCTGTTTGCTCAAGAGTATGAGCAAATATGTAACCAGTGACTACTCTTGTCTCCAAAATGCACTGTACAAGCTGCAGTAGTCTTATTTCTTTGCATACATTTTTTTGTAGATGTCTTTCAAATCAAATTCACATGTTTATTGAATGCTCTTTTGAGTATATATATGAAGTACTGTTTCATGTGATCTTGAGTCAATCTTCAGAAGATTGTAAACAGATTGTTTTTTTCTCTCTGATTCATGACCAAACATCCCTGCATTTTTTTATATTCTTATCCCCAAGAAATGTTGTCTAATTTATTTTAAAATATGTGTATATGTGTTTTAAATGTGTGTATGCATATATTTAGAAAAAGAATTTTATAAACAAAGTATCAACATAAATGGCAATTTCTTTATGTTTTTGTGCTGGAAAATGAAGCATTATGTTTTAATGTGGTTTTAATGAAGTGAAGTTAAAGATGCAGTCTGCCTATTTTCATGCTGAAAAGTACTGAGCATATCTCACTTAGGGAAAAAGGTTTGCAAAGTGTGTTTAGGTCTGTTAGACATATGCTGAAGTGAGTGGTTTATGAAGTGTGTGAAAAGACTAGTCAGGCATTAGGTGACCTGGTAAGTACATAAGGTCTTTGAAACAATTAACTCACAAAAAACGCCTGAAATAATAGACTTTTTAACACWGAAAATAGAGAAAGCACAACCATTTATTTTTAATGGAGACAGYTTGTTATTTGCTTCATTATATTCTCATCTGTTAAGTTTATGTTTTTGGTCCATTATTGTAAAGTTTTATCAAGCTCTGACCTCCTCCAGCTGAACATCAATGACAATATTTTAGAAAAATGCCTTGGGCTTCTAGGCGTTTCTGCCAACACCTAGTTTCATGGTGTGACACATGCTCTTTGGCAGCTGTGAGATCCYTGATATTGCCTATGAGGAGACATGGCTCTGGAACACCTGATCAATAAATCATGGCATGAGTTAATCACCTAGGTGTGGAGCTGAGCCAAAGCAGGAGCACCTTCAGATGAACATCGATGGCAGTGTAGGTACCTAGGGAWGTTTCAGCCCACAAATTTAGACTCTTGTGGGGTCTCCAGTGTGCGATCTCAAAGGTTCCAGACAATGAAGGCAGGAAGAGGGATSAGAAAGTAGAAACTAGGAGCACTTTGGAAGCACAATTGCCTTTTTAGAACTCCTGAATTCTTTCTGGTGGGAGCTTCAAAGCTTGGTTGCTTCCTGAAGCAACAATGGTTGGCCAGACATCTTTACTGCTTCCCTGTGTAGGTCASCAAAATTGGTACTGTGGGGAGAAGCACTGGTGGTGTAGAGATGGCTTGAGTCTGGGGGCTGCTGGTAGGCAGCAGTGCTGGGGTGTGACAGGAAAACTCCAGTGCTAGTGGATGAATTAACCTAGTTAAAGTCCCACATAGTGTGCTAGAGATGGCTGCACATTGCAGACAGATTTGTATTGCATACATGAGGCAAGGCAACAGAAAAATCAAAGGCATGAAAACAAAAGTAATGTATAAAAATACAGATAAAACACTAAAAGAACAAAAGGGACAATTAAATATGTAAGAGGGAAGAAAAGAATCAAGAAATGTGGGAAAAAATAGTAGAATTAGAGAAATGACTAGGCCGAATATTTCACAGCCTTATTCTTTGTCATAATTGGCATGTGTGAAATGAATGGATGAACTTTAACAGTTGGTCTATTACTTCACCATTCATACTTAGTGTTAGATTTTCTCTAACATTTTAAAAATAATTTTGTAGAATTCACAGAGTAATTGCCATAAAGGTTAGGTTAAGCATGGCTTGACATCACCTAGTACCTCTTTCCACTAATGTGTTTTATATCAATCTATGGCATGGATAAAGTGATTCTAATAACGTATGTTAAAGCCCTGCTAGACACTTGGAGCCCACTTACAGTCACAGTGTAATTGAGAAGCGTAGCCAGCTCTYCTTTCATATCTTGCAAGATGGGTCTTCATGCTGTTGAATCTGCGGGAATTTTCTGCTGGCTTCATTAGCACAGCTTTCTGCGTGGGATGATACTGATACTGGAGACAACTTTTTTCCTTCCAAACGAACAAGTTTTGCCATTGACGCTCGCAGCTGAATTGTAAACAAGATTCCCCTCCTTTCCCTCTGG